AGGTTATCCCATGTATATGAGAAGTGCTATTGACGAGTTGAATTTTATACTATTACATGACATGCGACTATATGTATCTTAATTTTAATTTTAAGAAAATATAGGATAATCCGTGAGTTTATGGTTGAGTTTATAAGAAAAACAAATTTAGTAGATTAGGGGATGTTACTGCTATATCATTTTAAAATCATATAAAATCATATTAGGATGTCACATATCACAATCATAAGCATGTGCCGCGTTTTCTTAAAAAACATAAATTTAATAGATCAGAGGATGTTAGTTGCTACTATGTCATTTCAAAATCATACTAAGATGTCACTTATCATAACTATAGCATGTTCGCTTGCTCGTAAACGATCGTAAATTTCCAACCGGGAACAGTGTTTTTCTCTTACACCAAACCAGGCAGCAGTAAATAATCCACGATACGATACGGCCTCCCGAACAGGCTGTATAAACATGTGTCTCGCACCTCTATGGCTACTAGTTAGCATTTAAGATACTAAATAAGTGCACTAGCTTGTGTCGTCGTGAATGTAATAGGGTAGCACATGCTCTAACTGCTATCGGGTGTAAGTTCCCAAGTGATTGTAAAACTACTTGGGAAGATGTACCTCACGAGGTTGAGACCTTTTGACCGGCGATTTAGCCGGGTCTAATGAGTAATAAAAGGTCCGAAAGTCTCAAAAAAAATGTAAAACTATGAGATTCTAAAATACAGGAATGAAAAATTGTGATGTTTAGAACGTAGAAAAGATATTTACTTCTTTCCAGTCCAAACGGGCCTAAGTAGTTCCTTTCCGGTGAAAGGGGATACTGTGTTTGGTTAAGAAATAAGGTGATTCATCATTTCCTCCCTCTTAATATTTTTTGTTCCATCATCATTTTATTCTTACGAGAAATAAAATCATTCCACCAAATTTGAATAATAGAGAGTTTGATTAGAGTAATAACTATTAAGATGATCCATCACTTTCTCGCTCATCATTTTTTTTTTTTTGTTCATCATTCCTCGCCAGCTAATAATTAGTATTGATACGAAAAATAAGTCATTCCATCAAATTTGAGGAATAAACTTATCGCCTCATCTAAAATGAAGTAAACACTTATAAAATTCCCTACTAAAATCCTATGATTCAAACAGACCCTAAATCTGGATGGACCTGTACCACCTGCTGCTATGCTACCAAAGAATAACTAGGGCACGGGGACTGATGCTTATGTAGGTCGAAAAACTAGGGCCGCAAACTGCTGACAAAAATGAACTAATGTAACTTACACATACAAAAAGGGTACGTACCTTGTATCAAGGAAAGGCATCACAACAAGGTTCCTGATTATCCGCTCCTCCTATACAAATCTAGTGAAAACTGAAGAATTGTGGCAATTAGTAAATTTCATGTTCAAAAATAGTGGCTGGTAATCTCGCTTTACATATAACTGTACAACCTCAAAAATCCAGGCAATGTGATCAGTGGAAATAGGCACAAAGCTTGTAGGGCGATGAGTTCCGTCTTGTTTAACTGGCTGCAGTTATCTCAGTTGGAGTTGTAGAGCAAATGCACGAGCAATCTGTTCCATTGGTGCCTCTTTCAAGCAACCGTTTGTTGCGGTTAATCAACAACTTTATCAGTGGTGCTTTAAGAGATACTTGGAGCCAAATCTCATTCACTGGTCCATTCAGATCCTCGTACTCAAAGTAATGTTTCACCTGAAAAAAGTCATTCGAATTTCAGCGAATAAGAAAATTATTAACAGATAAATATACTGAAAGAAATTTGAATGTGCATGTCATGCCTCTGAAATCTAAATTTTATGCAATATATAAGACTAGATTGAAACATCACATGTTCCTGCCTCACACCACATATCTCCATCCCATGCATGAATAAGGGCGCAATCTGTTATGGACCCATCAGCTTGTTCTAGTTATTTTGTTCAATCAACCATATGTACTACTCCCTCCGTCCTAGAATGATAAGTATATCGTAGACCAACAATTACTCAAATTTTATACAAGCTTAGGATATAAAACTTGCATCAGTAGATTTGTATTCAAAGTGTTTTTTAGATGATATTGATTCTTTAGCAAATGACAACATATTGTGAAAAAAAAATAAGGGTCAAAATCTACTTTGTATGACTTTTCCCTGATCAAAATACACATATCATTTCAGGACGGAAGGAGTACATAATGAACCAGCAATTCAGTGGAATGGGCCCACTTGCAACCACAAAAGTATACTACCATATAAGATCGAATTAGTGAAAGAGCACAAAATAACTCATATATGAGGCCAGAAAGTAATCATATGCCCAAAGTGACAGTTTGTCAAAACAATCCCCAAAGCACTATATATCCACATTCTTACTACTTCATATTCTAAGCCAAACAAGAATGAAATGGTGGGGTGATCTTCTCTGGCAAATGCACCGAGTAGCTGACTCAGATGTCAAATGTACACAGAAGTGGAAAGTACAAATGGAGTTTCTTGCTGAGGCATGGTGATGGCAGAATTTCATTATAGTCTCTAGTTATGCTAACGACATTAAATCCTCAAAGGCTGATCGATGAGGAAGTTTATACTTCAGTCCCCATAAATTTATTTTTCAAATCCTTTGAAGCTTACTGAGCAGCTTACTGAGCTACAGTCAAAATGTTATTACATCATTCAGGCACCACATATTTTCCAACATGCTTTGTATGTGCAATCTACACATTGTTTTCCATGTTAAAAGAACAAAATTCACTGCACGAAACAATACTGCAGCCAAGAAACATCTAACCTATCGTTGGAGCAACCATTTGTCTCAGGAATAAGGCATCTCTAAGAAAGAGCTGTTTATAAGTAGAATAGCATGCATCTTACAGATGCAAACAGCGGTATGATATAGGTTAGTCAGTACTGACCTTTTTTATTTCCCTCTGGTACTCCAGAATCCTCTCTGAACTGATTCTTCGAAGCATTGAAGTTAAGTATCCAGGTTATACTGCTTTGCTTGTCCCAACAAATATTGATATTTTATTGTAGTCTATAATATCTTCGAATGGAAGTTCAATGTAATCACTGACTATAACAGGAACACACAGACTGACAAGTGCATCAAATAATCTGCATGCTGAGGGAGTATCTCCGGCAGGATGGAGGCAAAATTTAGATGAGTGCATTCCTTGTCTAGCTGCACGACGACTCTCCCTTGATTGAGTTCCATGTTTTATGGTTACATCATCCTCGTTTTCAAGAATCTGGAAAAGCGCATCACGAACCTTCCCTCCCTACAATATTCAGAATGACAGACTGTAGCATAAGTACATAGCATTGCATAAACAAAGTACAAAATCAGAACAGGACACTGACTGTAACTCCATTGACAAGGAAAACAACGATGAACTATATGTAAAAGAAACTAAGGCTCAAGAGACACTTTGATTAAAAGGAACAAAAAAATCAAACTAAAGGATGCAACATAGTAATGCTTTGACATTTGTTTTTTTTAACAAAAGGGGGATACTTGACGAATTTTGGATGGGGGGGGGCTTCTAAAGACTCTTGAACAATTTTTTTTTGCTTGTTTCAAACCAAAAAGAAAAAAAAATTATGCAACTTCCCTTTTTTTCTCATATATTCCATACTTAATTTATCTTATCAATCATGATTTTATGTTTCTTATCAGGATGTTGCGGATGATTGAATACTGCAGTTGTTGTCTTCTATATTGTTCCTACTTCCTAACAAAAAATATTTGCCTTCAACAATGATATCACATTCTATGCATAGAAGGTGAGCAAAAGAAAAGGGGCTAGGTAATTGAAACAGAAACAAAAACGTTTCAGAGGCCAACTATGGCAAATGAAATTGTCAAAAAAGACAAACTTCTTGGTAAAGTATCCAAAATAACTGAAGATTGCAGAACTCTAACCGCTATGCAATTCTCAAATTTGACAAATTTCTGAATCAACAAGCCCTTACACATAATTCAAAAAATATACTGAGATCAAAAAATTGTTTGAGGGGTTTGTATATGTTACCCTTGAAACCAATTGTCTTAAGAAACCCCAGTTGACTTTTCGTTGTTCAATTTTCCTTGGGCATCGGTTCCAGAACTTGCCATAGAACAAAACAAATTCAAAGCAGGCACAATTGCATCCTAACTACTGGGAGTTTATCTGCTACTTCTACCGCTTCCTGGATAACAAAGCTAGAGCTGGTTCTCTGAGTAGTTGGTTTGATCAGGTGCTTGATGATGTTGGCGCAATCTGACCCAAGTGTACCTTCTGGGGGACTTGAGGCATCCAATTCGCAGCCAGGGATAGGTCCTGTCTAGATGCACATGCCTTTCTCTCTTCAAGCACATAAAAAGAGCAGAATTCAGTCACTCACGAGCTCACCCAGCTAGCAAAACGGTTGTTTCATATTGCAGATTGCAATCATTGTCCAGTGTGTAATTCTTGCTTCAGTAATTTGTAAAGCTCTCTCTTTATTCACAAAAAGAAAAGGCATCCTAACTCTGTTTTCTTCTAAGCTTCATCTTTATACAAGACAATGTGCACATAAGAACACCACCAATATAATACCATTTAGTTAATACTTCCTCTGTCCCAAAAAGAGTGCAATTCTTGCTTTTCGAGGAGTCAAACAATGTAAAGTTTGACCATACTCATGTACCGAATAAGTATCATTAGACTATTTATGAAATATATTTTCATAGTAAACCTATTTGGAGACATAAATGTTGGTACTATTTTCTATAAATTTAGTCAAACTTATTAAATTTTTTTGACTTGGTTCAAATCTAGAATTACATTCTTTTTAGGATGGAGGGAGTATCAATTAAGAATGTTGTGCACGCAAACTACAAGTTCCAAAGGGCACCTTCACTTGGTTGTCTATACTCTACAGCATATATGCCCCCCCTTATAACACAGTTGTACTTAAACTGACCAATGCCCCAATCAGATTAAATTCATCATGTTTCTTCCAAAATTCGAGAGTTACCTCCTTGCGGTACCTATTGCCCATGAAGAACAGCAATGAGGGCCGGCCATCCACCCCGACCTCACCCTTGAAGGAGTTGATTCGGTGTGAGTAGGGCAGGATGACATCCTTGACGAGAGATGCCTGATCGCTGCGCAACCTGCCGAAATCAGAGACCAGGAGTACGGCATTGCTGATCCGGTCGATCACCCTGTACAGGGCATTGGGGTCCTGGCAGATGAAAACGTGATCCCTCCCCCTGTGGCGCCGCCAGTAAGGCTGCCGCTCCAGCCACTCTAGCAGCTCCTCTTGCATGGCCTCGTCGCTGTACGCTGCCGCCGCCCCAGAGGCGTTTGCTGCCGGCGGAGAGCGGATGGGGTTCACAACAAGGCTGAGGGAGGAGAAGAAGGGCACGTAGAAGAGGTCGGCATCGCTCGGGTCGTCCACGCGTGCCACGGGGCGGTCCCACGGCCTGCGTCGGAGCAGGTCCTTGAAGAGCCACCACTCCGCCGCGTGCTGGTGTCCCGGGTACCACAGCTGCTCGTCGGGCAGAGCCGCCGCGGCGTCCGCCGAGCCCGACGGCGCACGCGCAGCCGTGTAGCTCCGGACGACGCCATAGGTAAACTTGGCCAGCAGGTCGTACAGGTAGATCTTGACGGGAGCAGGCGGGGCGGAGGTTGACGCCGGAGATGAGGAGGCGATAGCGGAGCCCGAGCTGAGGGAGCGGGAGAAGACGGAGGCGGAGGGGGAGGAAGGGGAGAGGATAAGGAAGAGGAGGGCGAGCGAGAGCGTGAGGAGTAGGAGGAGGACCGGGGAGGGGCGGCGCGACGGCACGGCGCGCGCGGCGAGTGCGAGGAGTGATCTCGGGAGGAGGAGATTCAGGCGGGGTGGCGGCGACGACGGGGGCGGCGGCACGAGGATCGGGGACGGGCGGGGCTTGCGGGGCGGCCTGCCGCGCCCCCACATGGGGCCGGCCACGCGGTGGGGTGGGCGGGGATGGGGAGGTGGAGTGCCGGCGGAGGGAGTGAGGCGGGGGACGACGGAGATTGGGATGCGAGTACGACGTCGTGGCCGCCCACTAACATGGGTAACTGACTGTGGGTCCTGCCCGTCGGTGGCTGTAGACTCATAGAGTAGCATTTTTATTTATTTTATTGAAAAAAAGAGAGGAAGTTAATCCCTCCATTTTTACGTGTTGAAAAGGTCATGTGAAATTCAGCCAAATTCATGTTTGGAATTCCTAAGAAAAATAAAATTTATGTAGAAAAATGAGAATGAAATACAAACACGTTCCAAAATGAGATTTATACCTACTATTTTGAGATTTTCACTATACAAAAGTCAATCATCACTATGAGTCTGATCGCATCAATATTGCATTGTATTAAGGGTTATGCAGCAATGTCCTTAACCTATATCGTGGGCGTCTACGTTTTACTATGTAATTCTCAAAAAAAGTTGTTTGATTCATCTAAATCTGTAAGTGGTCAGACCGAGCCTTAAGGTGCAGTCAGGTGCGCAAGAGGTGGTGCATAGATGGATAAGCAGGATCTTGGCCGAATTGTGGGATCCAGGTTGGGTTTGCTTTGAGGACACTAACATGCATATAGGATTGTGTAGGTAACCAAACACGGGCAATGAAAGCTCTAACCAGACACAGACAATGAAAGCTATGCTCTTCTCCTCCTCCTCTTCTTGCTCATCACTCTCATTATCATGATCAATTTTGTCACGAGTGATGACCTTCTCCCAATACTTGTGTGGAAGTGAGGTTCTTCAATCCACCTCTCAAGATCACAGTGACTATGATCTTGAGCTTCTTGGGAAGACATCTCAAGAACTAGTGAGAGAAGACGTCATCACCCATATTTTGTCCTAGTCTTCTCAATTTATAGACAATCACATTTACCGTAGAGAACATCTCCGGGATACTCTCTTCACTCGACATTTGGAACTTTGTATATTTGTCCTTGAAAATATATAGCTCGATATCCTTTACCGTTGTAGTACATTCATATGCTTTCTCTAATCCCTTCTACACCTTATGTGCCATCTCCAAATCCTTCATGGTCTACAAGACCTTGGGATCCTATGCTTCATAGATCACATTAAGGGATTGTTCATTGAGTTCAAGCTTCACCTCCTCTCCTGGACCAAGGTAGGATCCTTCATATCAAGCACATCAAACTTCGACTACTATTCCCCAAATCTTTTTCCCATAACCTTCAAATAAGCACACATTCTTCCCTTCCAATAGTCATAATTTGTGCCATCGAAGTTGGGGGGCCTGCCAATACTATTGCTAGACACTCCTTTACTTCAAAATGGTTAACTCTTCAAATTAATTGAGGCTTGACTCTAATACCACTTGAAAGGATCTTTGGATGGCTAGAGGGGGTAAATAGCCTAACTAAAAAATCTATGAACTCACAAACACTAGAAAAAGAGGTTAGATACAAAGGAGGCCCTAATAGTTCTACTCTAGTTAGTGTCTTGCAAATTAGGTTTTTTTCTTCATTTGTTTAAGTTCTATCATTTTCTTGTGATTAAAGTCCCTATGGATTCTTCGTCCATCAGCCCCCCCTTTGATTGATTGTAACTGGGACCTAAATCCAAACCAGATGAGATAGAAGCCCATCCCGTGAAGAACACAAACAGAGTAAAAAAATCTCACTAAACTGGAAACAAACTAAATAGTCATGCTAAAACACAATAAATATATATATCTAATTTCCAAATTAAAATATTGAGTATCTATTCCCACACAAATTGAGAAGCGAAATTAGTTACTAAGGATTATTTGGTAAATAACAATAATAAATAGCTAACTTTAGAATAAAAATGATGTTCGACTTGGTAAAATTTGTATAGTCACAATATTGGAGTGGGAAAAAAGAGAGGAGACAGAGACCATGATAGCTTCAAGCCAAAGAATTAATCAAAAATATCTTTACGGATTTCGTATCGAATATCCTAGCGGGGGGCACATTTTGAAGGACAATTGCAATTAAACAAGCTATTTGAAAAAATAATGAGTAAAACATTGAATGTTACTAAAAACCTAGCTACCCATGCTATTTGAGTCGCAACCTTTCTAGCTTATTCAATTTTAAATGGATTAAAATAATCCATGTTTATTTAAAATCCCTCACATCTCTCTATTTGTGTACGTAACAATTGAGAGTCTCTGGTGGTCTGGTCTCACACACACACATGCATAGAAATCCTAAAGAAATTGGACGACAACATACAGACAAAGTAGTGGCAAAACTCAGTCATGTTCTAAAATGGAAAAATGCAGTTACTCCGACTGTGTGCTGACAACGATTTTTTGGTGGTGCCTTCTGCACCTTTTCCATCCAATCTATTATCTCATCAGCCATGACGCCATCATACAGTACGTCTCCCTACCACAGCTAGCCGTCAGAGCTCGGAACAAGCGTTTCACTGTAGCGATGGAGTCAAAAGCCACCTTGGCAAGACGATTACATGAAAGGAGATAAGCTAACCGGGGTTTAATTTGACTACGTTTTTGTCGCGGTCAGGAGCAGCATCGATCGTCGCCGCCTCTCCGTTGCATCCCCCAAGAAATCTACGTGGACTATTCCCACAATAATCCATATGCATCGTCGCCGTCAGAGCGAGAGTCTAAGCATCCCTTCACATCAGTAAAAAAAAATCCTTTTCGCGTACGGCACACCAAGAATTCCCTCCTTGCGTCACAGAGCCGGCAGCAGCTAGCGGGAGCCCAGACGAAAACGGGTACGAGGAGAGTTGAATGCCTCAACAGGCAACAACAGCGAGCTGCCGAGGAGAGTCCAACCGCGCTGGCGTCATCTGCCTCTCGCGTCATCGGAAGGAGCCGCTCGATCGCGTATTTGAAGGGGTCTCCCGATCGGGGAGCCTCGTCGATGGGTTTTGGAGACCCGGCCCAACCCATATATTATACTGGGTAAAATCCAATGCAAATGCTGTCTCCGGTCCACGTGCAGGCGGAAAAATCAAACCGAGGAATTCGGACGACTATCGTGGGCAGCGTGGCTGCGAATGTGCAAGCAGTCGAAGGGTCCAGCACCGAGCTTCCTTGGGGCAGGAAGAACCCTCTTTGATTTGCTGCTTCACATACGTGAGACCAGTCTGGGTGACTGTGTCATGAAACTCTGCACTGAGATCGACTAGCCTAACAACGTAACTATGCTAAGCCGATCGCCGTGCGCGTGCATGCAGGAGCACGAATCTGGATGCAGCCAGAGATGTCCTAATTAATAAAGTAGCCGAGGATGGTGGGCCCATGCATTAGCTAAGCCTCCAAGCCCCTATAACATCTTGTTCGTTTGGTTGGCTGTCTTCCGCCGCGGGTTCCGTTGAATGAGGCTGCTTAGAGCACGAGCGCGCCAGCAGACGCGCGTATAATTTTCCTCTTCCTGTCAAAATTTTTGAAATTCAACGGCTCTTCACCGATCCGATCCCTATAAAAGCAGACCCGTTCCAGCAGCTGCACTGCACATCGGCAAAGAACTCTATTAGCGCCATAGACGACGACGATCGATCGCGATCGTTCATCAATTCAGGTTCACTTTCTCGACCGATCTGAGAGAGCAGCAGCTGCATACTAGCAATCTCAATCGGCTCCGGACCCAAGTCTCCGACAGCACGCACGTACGCCGATCTCGGCCTCTCGACGTGCTTTCTCACACGATCGTCGGTCGATCGAGGCCCTCGGTCACACTCCTCCCAGCCCTAGCTACATTCCAAAAACCGCGCTCGGATTCGACCCGAGGAAGGAATTCACTCAGCTTCATTCTCCGGCCCGCCCGCATTCCGGCCGTCAATCCAATGGCGTCGTCATCCGCACTACCGCCACAGAGGTCGTCGGCCGTGATCAGCGACGACTGCGACATCGCATCGCGGCTAAACGCGTCGGCGGAGGCGGCGATGGGGAACGCCGAGCTCGCCGCGCGGTGGGCGACGCGGCGCGTCGACGACGAGAGGCCCGCGTCGCCCGCGTCGCCCAAGAAGTACGACGTGTTCATCAACCACCGCGGGGTGGACACCAAGCACAACGTGGCGCGCCTCCTGTACGACCGCCTCGAGCACCTCAGCCGGGGGCGGGTCCGCTCCTTCCTGGACAACAAGTCCATGCGCCCCGGCGACAGGCTCCACGAGAGCATCAACGAGGGCATCAGGCAGTGCAGGGTCGCCGTGGCCATTTTCTCCCCGCGCTACTTCGACTCCGACTTCTGCCTCCACGAGCTCGCCAACATCGTGGAGTCGCGCAAGCTCCTCATCCCCATCTTCTACGGCATCAAGCCCTCGGAGCTCATCCTGCCGCAGGAGGTGGTCGACTCCCAAACATTCATGCCCCGGGACATCGACCGCTTCAGGTTCGCTCTCAAGGAGGCCAAGTACACCGTCGGCCTCACCCACGACCCCGCCAAAGAGTACGTGCCCTCTTATTTGCAATTCCATCTCCAATTCTCCATGCACGCGCCATTGACATTATTCACGCATTCACTTCGCTCTAGCTAGCCTCAGCTCTGACCTCATCGTGTGCATTATATTATACATGAACGCATGCAATGATGCAAGCATCTACTAGCTTTGAACTGACTCCATCTTTGTGCAATGGCGATCTGCAGTGACTTGGCGGACCTGGTGTTAACGGCAGCGAACGCGGTGATGGAGAGGATTCAAGAAACGGAACAGCGCGTGCCACAACGCCAGATGATCCTTTCGAGGCTGTGAATTTTTGAACGGAGCATGCATCGGCTACTATTCAAACCAGCTTCTCGAAGCGGTGGCCGGCATTTCGTGAATGACTCATTAACAGGGAGGGGATTGGTTCATTTCATTGCTTTTTTTCATTGTAATATAATGAAAATTTAGAGGTCTTGGTCTTAATTTTGGTAAACTTGGGGCGGTACGTAGAAATGTATGTGCCCATGTAGAATAAGCTATTACACGACTGATGTGGCTTTGCAAATATATAATTACAGCCACACATGTACATGTAGAAAAAAATAAAATTGTATGTCGAGATTAAAGATATTTTTTGCATACTGCTGTTGCAGTGTGTGTCTATCTGACTCGTTGCATGGCGCTGTTGGATTCAAACGTCTTTGTCTCACTCATTTCCTCGCTACTATGGCCTCTGGGCTACGTGTGTACATGTGTATGTCTTCATCATGTCTTTTCTCTAAATTGCTTTTTCTTTTCACTGTTGGCAATAACTTAGCATGGATCATTGAAAGAGTGGTATTATGTTTCACATTTTAACCGCCTATTCACTGGCAATGGGTATATATATATATGACAGCTACATTCCAAAAATAAGATCATTTTAGCTACGTGAATGAAGTATGTATGTATATGCGTAGCTGCATTCCAAAGAAAATCTCATGTTTGTGTGGGTACAACTCTCAGCTAGTCAGTTGTATCAGGCTATTGTATGCTAGAGGGCCTCTTACCGTGTGTGCTTTGAACAATGCCACCGATGCAACGTTACATTTGATCAGGTTTACAGAGTACTCTTGAAACTAATATAATGCATCATATATATCTTGATAATAGGGAAAAAAGAGTTGCTGAATATGTTTCGTTATTTGATTGTTTAGAACTGCACGGTGGTAATTAAGTACATCTTAATTTAGGAACGAGAGGGGATAATGATGTATATATTCTTTCCAATTAATTTATGTATGTGTTGGCATCTTGTGTTATTATTTTGAATTTGATCTACATATATGCATAGATAGATGGAATGGGATTGTTCTTACTAATAAATCACATATATGCAAATCGACCTATACTTGTTAAATTAAATGCAACTTTATGAGTAGGCGAATGTGCAGTAGAACTGAATTACAAGTAACTTTAATTATATTTATGAGTGGGTATTCTTAAAATTTTAACGAGGAAGTTCATTTGGTATATATTTTCTCATTGGGCTAGCTGTAGATTTAGGTGAGGTTGGACATCCTGTTTTGGCTAAGTAGTGTAATTTGGGTCTGTGAATGATATATGTCTCTTTTTTTCTTTTAGTGAAGTGAGTCATCACATATGCCTAGCTGTAAATTTTTTTTCTTAGTTCAAATGGACTTCTGCTTCTTGTATGACAAACTCAAGCAGATACTCCCTCTGCCCCATCAAAATATAAGACGCGATTTAACTTGCTGCGGTCTTCAAGAACACCACTTTGACAACTATTTTTTTCTTATAATATATAATTTATGATAACAAAAGTTTGATCATTAGAAAGTGTCTCCAAATACAAATGCAATGTAACCATTTTTGTAGCATAAACTTTTCATATGATTAGGCTAACGGTTTGTTGAAGATAACAAAGTTTTAATTTTAAAATATGTGCATGCCTTATATTTGGGAGGGAGGGAGTGATTATTAGCACTAGATTTTATGAAGCAAAACTTGAATTGGCCTACTATTTTTAACAAGAAAAATATTGATATGATATTGCTTCTGTTTGTACAATATATAAATATCTATCAACATGCCATATTATTTTTCATTGGAAAATAACAATCATTTTTATCGATCTAGTAAGCTAGATGTGCAAATCTACTGTGTGCAACAACAAAAGGTTTATAGACTCCCCATCATATCCTTTTGTTATTTATTTTACATTGCACCGTATGTACTTGTATGGACCGATAAAGCATAATATGTGTTGTACCCAATGTCCCAAATTTCATGAAATTAATTTATCTCATTTATATATCTTTTTTGTTCTATTAATGAATGACATTTTTATGTGAGTTCCAATATTTACATAACTCATTCCTCCTCAGGTTCAGATTTTGGATGCAAATGATCAAGGATTTTTGTTACTTAATTAGTAGTAGCTAGGAAACTCTTTGTGTCTTCCATGGTGAATTTCATTAAATTGAAACCTTTTTATTTTTTATTACTTGAATACTAAATCAGTATTCTCTATGTTTTAAATTGTAAGTCATTTTAGTTTTGCTCTAAGTCAAACTTGTATAACTTTGAATAGATTTAAAGAAAAATATATTAACCTCTAAAATATCAAATAAATGCATTATCAAATATATTTAATGGTGTATCTAGTGAATCTTGTTTGATGTTTATATATTTGTGCATTTTTCTGTAAACTTGATCGCTGCAATTTGGAAAGGTGAGATATGTAAGTACATTTATTTTTGTGAAATTCAGTTGAAGACCCAGTCCATCGATCATATATGACTCAACAATTAACATCATGCACGGTTTCACACAGGGACAATGAATTTCAACATTAATATTATTGTTCCCTGGACTGGGCGATACGTGCACTGATTTATATTGGAAACTAGACATATTTTGAAAATCAGTACTAGCACAATAATTATGCTGACGAGATTCAAATGGGTTTTATAGAAACTTTCCTAGTTCAAAAGAACAAACGTTAAATAAATTACATCACCCACACTTCACTACTGAATTTAGGTTCTTTGCCGAGTGCCTGAGGCACTCGGCAAAGACCACACGGCAAAAATCTGATCGACAAAGCGCTCTTTGCCGAGTATCTTTTATCGGGCACTCGGCAAAGGTTTTGCCGAGTGCCGCGGGGACACTCGGCAAAGAAAAGCAACCGCCACGGAGGCGGTTCCGTTGACGGTCACTTTGCCGAGTGCCAACCCTGCAGGCACTCGGCAAAGATTTTTTTAATTTTTTTTTAACAATTTCTTTGCCGAGTGTCAACCCGTGAGGCACTCGCAAAGATTTTTTATTTTTTTTAAAAAAAATTCGTTGCCGAGTGCCAACCCGTGAGGCACTCGGCAAAGATTTTTTATTTTTTTTTAAAAAATTTCTTTGCCGAGTGCCAACGCGTAAGGCACTCGGCAAAGAGATTTAATTTTTTTTAAAAAAATTCTTTGCCGAGTGCCAACCATACAGGCGCTCGGCAAAGTGTTTTTATTTTTTTTTTAAAAAAATCTTTGCCGAGCGCCAGCCATCGGACACTCGGCAAACGTTTTTCATTTTTTTTAAAATTTATTTGCCGAGTGTCAAACCGGAAGGCACTCGGCAAAGATTTTTTAATTTTTTTTAAATTTCTTTGCCGAGTGCCCAATGGGTGGCACTCAGCAAAGTTTTGATTTTTTTTTTAAATTCTTTGTCGAGTGCCCTATGGCCGGCACTCGGCAAAGTTTAAATTTTTTTTTAATTTCTTTGCCGAGTGTCATGGTCACAGCACTCGGCCAAGCTGGAAAATCTGTTTTCTGATCACCCATTTTTTCAGCTTTGCCGAGTGTTGTGGCCATTGCACTCGGCAAAGGGGTCCTTTGCCGAGTGCAACACTCGGCAAAGTGACCAAAAACGGTAAATTTTTTTTTTGCATTCCATCATGACAAATACATTCATACAAACATATATCACATATATATCTCATCCATCGCATATATATCTCATCCATTGCATATATATCTCATCCATCACATATATATATCTCATCCATCCACACATCCATCCGCATATCACATCCATCACAATATATAATAATAAGTGCTCAAGTCCATCCAAATAAGTCCACAAGTCCATCAAAGTCCACAAGTGCATCACAAGTATATCACAAGTCCATCCAAAGTAGTAGGTTACGATGGTCTGGATGCGCGCCTCGTGATGCATGTCGGTGACGAGTTTTTTACATGCTTTGGTAATCGCCTGCTCCGCCCTGGCCTCAAATCCCTCCTCGCATCTGTAATAAGTCTGCATACAAAAGCGATGTATCCATTCATTATTTCAAGAAAACTCCAATGAATACGACGTATTGAGCAATGTTGTGCGAGGGAGACTTACCCATAACTCTGCCTTCACCCGCGCCGCCTTGTTGGGGTACTCCGCATCGGAGGCGACGACGTAGTGGTCAAACAAGTAGGCCGGCTCCGTCTTCGATGCGTACATGACAATGCCGGGGAAATGTTGCCTGCACAGAAGACCTAGGATGCCGTTGACTAGCCGTGCGCTACCACCCGACACAACCACCCAGTTCCTGCACAAGTGATTAAGAAAAATTATTAGTTTTTTTCATCATATCATATGAAGTAGTGGTGATAACATATACAGTTATTTACTTTTGTTCTTCAGGGCGAATCACTAGGCATTGGTGAGGAAGCGGAACCTGTGGGAGGCTCACGGGACCTCGCAAGTAGACCCTCGAAGAGGAGTTGGAGGAAGCGGAACCCGTGCCTGCCGCCTCCCCCCCCTCCTCCTCCTCCTCCTCCTCCGTCTGCCGAACCAGCTCCTCATCTGACTCGTCCACTGGCGCCACCTCCTCCTGCGGCTGGCGGTCCTCCTCACATGGCGTGGGAGGAGATGGCCCCCTCCTGCGGCTAGCGGTCCTCCTGTTCGATCCCTCTGCCGCCCCCCCTACGGCTGGCGTGGTCTTTGGTAAATCGAGTTCACAGACCTATGACGGTCGTCCGCCATCTTTGTTCAATCACCTGCAATAAAAAAGAAAAACAAGACGTAATTAGAAATAGGTGCAAAAATGAACAAAACATAATTACAAAAAACATAGTAATACATGTATTAGAAATATATGCAAAAATGAACAAAACATAATTACAAAAAACATAGTATTACATGTATTAGAAATAATCTTCATGATTGAAATTAGCTGGATCATAGGTCTCATCATCACTATCAACATTGTCCAACTCATCAACACTATACGAAGGAGGAATGTTGTCTTCATTGTCATTGCCCAAATGTAATCGCTCAAGCATTTG